CAGAAGGAAAGGAGATCCCAGCAGGGAAGGAGACAGAAGAGCCGTGGCAGGAGATCTCCGGCCAAGCAGAGGAAGCATTGGGGCCAGGCAAAGCGTCAACCTGTGGACAAGCAGAGGAAAAGGGCTTTGAAACGCTCCTTCCACTCCATCAATGCCAAGACGCTCAACCAGATCAAGCAAGACGGCCGGTTCCTCTCCCACCAGGCGAAGGCGCTCATGATCAGCTTCGTGGAGAACATCTACAAGCAGGTGTCGAGTGAGGCCGAGCGGCTGCGGAGGGAGAGTCGCGATCCCCTCGTCAGCCCCGCGCACGTGCAAGCTGCCCTGCAGCGCGTGGTGCCGAGGAGGAGGTGGAGGCACGTGCCCACTGTGGTCTCGAGAAACAGGCACTAGAGAAAACATCCTCCTTCCCTTGAGGTTCGGATGGGTGGCAAACAAGCCCTAGAGCCCAAGGGAGAGGAATTAAAATACCAAAACACCCCAATTGCTGAAAAGGCTTGTGCAACCACCGGTTTGGGAAGACCTGAGCAATGCACCAGGTGGAGTGGGGAGTCAGTCGAATGAAATGGTCAACATGGCATTGCAATAAAGCGCAAGTGCAGCAGCCTTTGGTGGTGTGAGGGGTTTCTTTTGCAGGAAAGGATGATGAGGGGTTGGGCTGTGGCTCGGCGTTTCATTAGTGAGAATCTGTAAGTGGTTTTTACCTTAGAGAAACACACGCTTTCATGCCCTCCTTGCTGCAAGTAGATGGTTATATATACTTGAATATACGTATTTTAATTACCAGCAGATGATGGGAAATGCTGCGAGCAGGGGAAAATGCCCCACCAGTCTGAATTGCCCTAGGATAGCGATGGTGATATCCCAGTTCTGCTAAGCCCATCCCTCATCAGGTTATTACCCGTGACAGTTAAAGGAATGATTCTTAAAAAGAAGCAAGATCATCCACATCAGCCACGTGCCGCGCAGCAAGGCTGCCAACCGGCTTTTAGAATAACGGTGGCGTTTGCCATCTCTGTGTGTGCTTCGAGGGTTGAATTTGCTGCGAAAAAGCCTATTATTGGTATCATCAGAGCGGGGAGGGGGGAAAAGAGGACATTATTTTGTTGAGGGAAAACGTAGTTTCCCTGACCGGGAATCGAACCCGGGCCCGCGGCGGTGAAGGCGCCGAATCCTAACCACTAGACCACCAGGGAAGCGCTGCGTAGAGCTTTTTGTCCGCGGACCCACGCGCGGCCGCTCCACGAGCGACCCCCCCACGGGGGGG